GCATGGATGTGGGGAGAAAGGGACTCTCATTCACTGGTGGTGGGAACGCTGATTGGTCCAGCCTTTATAGAAAACAATATAGGCATTCCTCAAAAAACTAGAAATTGAATTTCCATATGACCCAGGAATACTGTTTCTGGGAATACTGGTCCAAAACCACAATGTAGAAAAGTCAACCGTGCTCTTATGTTCACTGTAGCACTATTCACAATAGCCAGAATCTGGAAACCCCAGTGCCCAAGAACAGATGAGTGGATAAAGAAACTATGGTACATGGGGCTAAAGCAATAGTACAGCGGGTAGGGTGTTTGCCTTGCACGCAGCAAAATGAGGTTCGATCCCCAGCATCCCACATGGTCTCCCAAGCACTACCAGAAGTAATTCCTGAGTGCAGAGCCAGGAGTAATCTCTGGACATTGCAGCTGTGACCCAAAAAGCCAAAACAAAAAAAAAAAAAAAAAAAAAAAAAGTAGAAAAGAAAAAAACTATGGTATATCTATACAATGGAACACTATGCAAATGTTAGAAAAAATGAAGTCATGAAATTTGCTTATTCATGAATGGACACGGAGAGTATCATGCTGAATGAAATGTGTCAAAGGGAAAGAGACAAACACAGAAGGATTGCATTCCAGAGGCCGGAGTGATATTACAGCGGGTAGGGCGTTAGCCTAGCACACACAGCCAACCTGGGTTGATTCCCAGCATCCCACATGGTCCCCTGAGCCCTGCCAGGAGTAATTCCTGAGTACAGAGACTGGAGTAAAAAAAAAGAAAAAAGCTAGACCCATAAAGCTAAAAAGAAAAATTATAAAACCCCCCAAAAAAAACAAACAAAAAAACTAAGCTCTGTGCACTGCTGAGTGTGACAATAAATAAATAAATAAACTTTTAGAGAATAGAAAAATAACTCAAAGAGCAGGTGCACACACTTTGCATGCCAGAGGCTTGAGTTTGATTCCCAGCACAAGGTTTTTGGTGATTTTTTTTCTTGAGGCCACACCCTGTAATGCTCAGGAATTACTACAGGCTCTACAATCAGGAATTACCTCTGGTGGTGCTTGAGGGACCTCAGAGGATTCTAGGATCAAACCCAGGTTGGCTGTGTACAAGGCAAACGTCCCACCCGCTGTAATATAGCTCTGACCTGAGCACCAAGTTCGAGTTCCAGCACCACATGGTCTTAGGGATCTACCAGGAATCCCCTGAGCGCCATGCTGGAAGTAGACCCTGAGCAACAGGGCCAGGAATATGCCACAAAGAGAATTTACTGTACTACATGCTATTTACAGTATTGCAGGGTATGATCTAACACCATAATTAAAAAAGAAACATTTATTAAACTGTTTCTTTATCGCTGGAGCGATAGCACAGCGGATAGGGCGTCTGCCTTGCACGTAGCCAACATGGCCGACCCGAGTTCGATTCCTCCGCCCCTCTCGGAGAGCCCGGCAAGCTACCGAGAGTATTCGATATGCCAGACACAGTAACAACAAAGTCTCCAATGGAGACGTTACTGGGCCCGCTCGAGCAAATCGACGATCAACGGGAGGGCCTTTACTTTACTTACTTACTTATTAAACAAGTGTATTATAATATTAAATCAGAAACACTTTAAGTAATACGATGGTCCCTAATAAAAGCTGAAGAACTTGCATTTCCTAGCAACAAGACTCCATGCTGGTGAGATAGCTCAGACAGCTGGAGTGTATGCACTGACTGCAGAAATCCCAGCTTTGATCCCCAGCATCATATCATCCATAAATCACTAAGTCACGTGTAGGCTCTGAGCACCTGGTGTATTTAAAACACCAAAACAAGTATCCATATTTCTATTCCTTAAAAAAGGAAAAGATAGGCCAGAGTGATTGCACAGTGGTTAGGGCACTAAGCTTGCACGAGCCAACCTAGATTTGATCTCTGGCACCCCATAAGGTACCATGAACCACCATTTGTAATCCCTGAGTGTGGCACAAGGAGTAATAATCCCTGAGAACCCCAAAAAAAGATGGAGGTCAGAGAGAGTACAGCAGGTACTTGCTATGCATGTGTCCAACCCCAGACCTATTCCCAACACTGATATGGTCCCCAGAGCACTGCCAGGAGACAGCCCTGGGACACAGAGAGCCAAGAGTACCCTCTGACAACCAATGGTACTACAGCACTATAGGCAGCCCAAATTGTACCCTCCCAAAGATAAAAAATCCTAAATTTTATTTTATTTTTAAATTTTTATCAGTGAAACACCATTGGAGAGATAGGATTAACTTATTTTAAGCACACTGTTTCTTTTCTTAGTAACCTAACTAGCACTCCAAACACATTTCAATGAATATAATCATGCATCTCTTCTTTGTCTTTTGGAACACACCCTGAGGGGTTTAGGACTTACTCCTGGCTCTGTGCTCAGGGGACCATATGCAGTGATTCAGTGATTCAGGGAGGGAATTAGTTAAGCCACATGCAAGGCAGTTATCTTACTAAAGATTTACTATCTTTCTGACCCCTGGGACCTCTTAAATGGGACCACAGAGATAACTCAAAAGGCTAGAGTACATGCAAAAGTCCCAGGTTCACTTTTTTTGTTGCTTATTTATTTTTATTAGTGAAACACCATGAGGTAAAGTTGTAGACTTACACACTTTGCTGCTTGGGTTTCAGTTATACAATGATCAAGTACCCATCCCTCCACCAGTGCCCATTCTCCACCACCAATGATCCCAGTAGCCATCCCATCCCCCCAACCCATCCCCCCACTCCCCCAACTGTGGCAGGGCATTCCCATTTGCTCTCTCTTTCCTTTGGGTGTTGTGGTTTGCAATAGAGGTATTGAGTGGCCATTGTGTTCGGTCTATAGTCTACTTTCAGCCCAGGTTCACTTTTTGGCACTGCCTCGTCCCCTGAGTACCATTGGGAGCAATCCAAAAAACCACACTTAGTGGTTCCTGAACAATGCAGTATGACCCAAAATAACAACAATAAAAAGGAGTCCAAAATAAATACATTCTATTTCCACCTACACAAATATATAAATATGCAAAGTAGGTAGGAACGCTTCTTGTTGAACCGGTGCAATAAATCCTAGAATGGGAGCATTTCCAAAATAGTCCAAATTACTCCTGAAAATTCACTTTACGATGTGGCTAGGGTCTCTGGAAGTTCAACAGTTAATGTTTTAAGCTGCCAGAATTTAGGTTATGGAAATCCTTCCCTAAACCACATATGTCTTAAGACAGTCCTTAAAAAAGAAGTGTATAATATGGGGAGCTAGCAGTTGAAGATTTTCAGCTTTCATCTTCAAGTTTAATAACTGCTATTTGTTTTTGTTTTTGGTTTTGTTTTGGGGCCATACTCAGCAATGCTCAGGAATTACTACTGGCACTGCACTCAGGGATCAGTCCTGGGGTTGTTTTAGGGGACTATACGGGAGTCCAGGGATAGAATCTGTGTTGGTAACCTGCAAGGAAAAAGTCCTACCCACTGGACTCCAGCACCTAACTGCTATTTCCAATGAGAGGGTTCTTCCAGCTTTGCTGGAGGCCACCAGTGTTACAGTCAAAGGTGTTCTGGAGGCTAAGTGCTGCTAGGGAGCCAACCCTTTGAATTATCCCCTTGACCCCTTAAGAACCACTAGGGCCAGATAGATTTTACAGTGGACAAGGTACTTTGCCTTACTTGAAGTTAACCTGGATTTGATCCCTGGCACCTCCAGAAGTGATCCTTGACACAGAACCAGGAATAAGCACAGCAGGGTGTGGCCCCAACCCCCCCCCAAAGAAAAACAAATACAAATAACACTTGGGGAGGGGAACCACAACAGAAGAGTTAGATAGGTCAGATGCAGAAATCCAGTAGTTTGAATTTTTTTTTAATCCAGCCAAACCCAGTTGGGGGGGGTCGGGGGGATGGGAGCTAGGAACATGCTCTCCATGCTCCATGCCACCAAGGCTCTACCAGGGATGATGAAATTCAGGTCCCCCTCCTTCCCGTGCTAAGCATGTACACTTGATCTAATTCCCAAGTCCCTGCGCAATTTTTATAAAACAAGAATCTCAAAAGTTGTCATGTTTGGACAAAAGCTATTATCTTTCATGGCCTTGCTAACTTTTTACCCACAAGTGCATCTTATGACATAAATCAATATATGAGACATTTGTTTCTGCATTTACTCATCACCCACAGGGTACGAAAAATACTGAAGAGAGCTGAACAGGGCTGGCTTCATGCTTAGGTCAAACCCTTCTCCCACTACTTTTGGTACCCCCAAGCAACTTCAGACACACTGAGCTCAGAGTTGGAAAATTCTTGAAAACAACCAGACGTGACCCCTAAAAATAATAATAATTTTGGAATTAAAACATTGGTTAAGTTAGGATTTTCATCCCAAAAGCATTATGTCGTTGTTGAAAGTTGAAGTTAAAAAAAATCAAAAGAATTGGCCCTAAAGTGACTGTGTAGGGGACATGGCTCCTGCCAGAGAAGTTTAATCCCCAGCAATCCATATAGCCCCCAGGAGATCTCTGAGCAAAGAGCTAGGAGTAAACCCTGATCACAGCTAGGTGTAGGTCCAAAACATACAAGCCAAAATAAACAATTTACAAGAAGCCACAATGGCCACTATACAGAAAAAAAAAACTGACATCACTCTCACTCTCTCTCTCTCTCTCTCTCACACACACACACACACATACACACACACACATACACATCTTGCAGTAAAGTTCATGTACAGGAAGGTCTATGTTCTGTGATTGTATACAGACCACCTAAAGTGTTCCACAAAGTCTCCCGCTTTTGGAGATGAGTTTTGGAACAACAAGGAGTACAAGGGAGCAGGCAGGCACTTTTTTTCTTGGACATTATGTCTCTCTGGCTCAAGAACTCCAGGGGAAGTGGAGGCTGGCAAAGGATGAGGGTGGACGGAGCTGGACGGTGCAACCCCTCCCGGATACAACGGATAAAGTTAGCGATGACGCCGAGAACAGTGGTCGGCCACTTACCCCGAGGTTTATTGAACGAGAACGGATCGGAGGTGTCCACGGGTCCTTCCACTGCCAGGAAGAAGAGAGGTGTGAACCCTGGGCTCCCCCTTTATCGCTAGTTAACCTCACCTCCACGCACATCAGGGCACATCTATGATCCTCAGCAAATCTTGATGGCATGAAAGCCGACCTCATTCACTGGGATCCCTACCCAGCAGGGAAGACCCCAAACGACCTCCCCCAAGCCTTGTCGAGAGCTGAGAAAGGGCAGAAGAAAGCTCTGGGGGATCCCTAGCAAGATCATGAAGCATCCGGGGCCACTCACCCACCCACCCGACTTCCCAAAGAAAGTGCAGAGGACTGAACGGTGACGAGCCGGCCTCGACTTCCCAGGGAGGTGCCCGACAGGCCGCAGGGTCAGAGCCTCCCACCCGAGGGTGCTGAGAAATCTTGTGGGAGACGGGGGAGGAATCCCCCGAGTCGTCCCGAAAAGTTTCGTACCTACGAAGCTGCGACACAGAGCGTGGCTCGGGACTCTCATTACGGTGGCCGGGGCCTGGGGCCGCTCAGCCGCGCCTCCTGGCTGAGGGCTCCGCGAGTCGGGGCTGCAGTGACAGCTCGGATCGCGGAGAGACCTCGCGCCGCGGGAGGCTCCTGGCTGACAGGTCCGGGGACTGGGGAGTTCGCTCTCTGCACGGGGTGAGCGGTCGCACTCACGCCGATTCACGCTCTCCAAAGTGCCCCTCTCCAGATCAAACGATCACTCCCGCCTGAAGCCCCGCAGCCGGCGGCTGCCCGGCGCCGCCATCGTTCGTGTTTGTTTTCATCCGCTTCGGGGAAGGCGGGGGGTGAGCCGAGGGAGAGGGCGGAAATCCAGTCGCTCGCTCTCAGACGCACTTTCGCCACAACGCGGTCTCCCAGCTTCTGCCCTTTCTCTTGATATAATCGCCAAGTGTTGACCTCCGCGTCACATAATTCTTTGTTTTAAATTTTCTCAAGCGTGATTGAAGAGAAAACACGCGTGAAGAGCGGGGTCTTGGACGGTACAGCGCTTTCGAGGAATGTGAGACGGGAAATCGCAGGCCTGGGCGGCCGCGGGTGTGAGGACGCGGCGTGGGGGCGGGCGCTGACGCAAGGGGGCGGGGCCTGCGCTGACGCAAGGGGCGAGGCCCCCGCTGAGCTCCGTGGCGGCTTGTGCGCGGCCGCTGGCGCCTCGGGAGGTTCCGGAACCGCCTGGGTGGGTGGGGAGTGCGGCCGGGACCTGCCGCCGCCGCCGAGAGGTGGGTGACAGACTTTAGGGGACTGAGCGACGTTAGGGGCCCAACGAGACTTTCGCATCCATTTCTAAATCTCCTTGGCTGTATGTTTTGAAGCAGTTGGCTCGCCTCTGAATCCTCGCTCCCTCTCTCCCCGCCTTTCGCGCCGTCCTTTTCTGTTTCCTGGGCTTTTTTTTTTTTTTTCCGCCTCGGCCGCCTCACGACGTGGGTTTCTAGACGTGAGAGGGAAAGCCTGTTGATGGTTGAGGCCACGCTCCGCGCCCGCCAGGCTGGGTCCCGGACGACTTTTTTATGCCCCTCCTTTCTGCAATGGTAGACTGGTTAGAGCCCCCCACCCCAACCCCAAAGCCTCTGGTCCCTAACTCATCAGCTGCAGCTCCAGGACTCCAGGTATTGCCGGCCCGCTCGAATTCCTGCCCCGGATACGTCTCAGTTAGGAGCCGCAGTTAGGAACCGACTATTTTTTTTTCTTTTTTGGGTCACACCTGGCGATGCACAGGGGTTACTTCTGGCTCTGCACTCAGGAGTTACTCCTGGCGGTGCTCAGGGGACCATATGGGATGCTGGGAATCGAACCCGGGTCGGCTGCGTGCAAGGCAAACGCCCTACCCCCTGTGCTATCTCTCCAGCCCCAGGAACCGACTTCTTTTACCTTGTGCATAATTAAGCCTTCACCTCCACTAATGTGTGCGGGCACTCAAAAGACCGGTATTCATGTCTGGGCCCGTCATGAGTTAATGGAGAAAATTAAAACAACAACAACAAAAAACCAGAAACATCTTTTTACTTGAACACAAGAAAAACTGGAGAAAAATGGCCTCGGAGTCACTTTCAAGTCTTCAGCGGGTTCCTAATGTTTGTTTCTTTTTCTTTTAACTGTTGCAGAGAGAAGAGCCGCTGAACGGATGGTTAACTGATGTTTTCACTGACACTTCCTTAAATACCCTCTTGCACCAGCGTCCTGACTGAGAGGAAGGCAGGAAAAAATTCACCAGGGGATAGTGAGACAGCATTTGCACATACCATGGCGATACCCATAACAGTGCTTGATTGTGATCTCTTGCTGTATGGCAGAGGTCACCGGACACTGGATCGCTTTAAACTGGATGATGTGACTGATGAATACTTGATGTCCATGTATGGGTTTCCTCGACAGTTCATTTATTACTTGGTGGAGCTCTTGGGAGCTAGTCTTTCTAAACCTACTCAGAGATCCAGGGCCATTAGTCCTGAAACACAGATTCTTGCTGCCTTGGGCTTCTATACCTCAGGCTCCTTCCAAACTCGGATGGGAGATGCTATTGGCATCAGCCAGGCCTCAATGAGTCGTTGTGTTGCCAATGTCACTGAGGCTCTGGTGGAAAGAGCCTCGCAGTTCATTCATTTTCCAACTGATGAAGCCTCCGCGCAGGCACTGAAAGATGAATTCTACGGGTTGGCAGGAATGCCAGGGGTGATCGGGGTGGTGGACTGCATCCACGTGGCTATCAAGGCACCCAATGCTGAAGATCTCTCCTATGTGAACCGCAAAGGTTTGCATTCATTAAACTGCCTGATGGTGTGTGACATCCGAGGGGCACTGATGACCGTGGAGACGAACTGGCCGGGGAGCCTGCAGGACTATGCGGTGCTGCAGCAGTCTTCTCTCAATACTCAGTTTGAGGCGGGTCTACACAGAGAGAGTTGGCTGCTTGGTAAGTATGGGTGTAAGTGCATCCAGAAAGAAAGCCGAGCAGAATGAATACAATCTGAGTCTCTGTTCCTGCCCTTTTTGCAGGCTTATTTTATGTTGTTTGTTTGGAGGGGGCCCACACCCAGCGGTGCTCAGGAATTAATCCTGGTTCTACACTCAGGGCTGCAGTGACAGCTCTGATCACAGAGAAACTTCACACCTGAGAGGTTCCTGGCTGACTCCTGGTGGTACTCAGGGGACCATATGGGATGCTGGAGATGGAACCCGAGTCAGCCATGTGCAAGGCAAGTGCCCTTCCCACTGTACCATCTCTCATCTTTCTGGCTCCTCTCAGGCTTTTTTAAATCGTAAAAGACACTAAAATGGAAAAACAGGATTTGAACCCATTTTTCCACTTTTAAGAATTTATCTTGATGGGACCAGAGGGACTACAGCAGGCAAGGCGCTTGTGTTGCACACAGCCACTCAGATTCAACCCCCTACACCTCATACGGTTTCCTGAGCACTGCCATCACACCATCAGGAATGATTTCTGAGTGCAACACCAAGAGTAAGTCTGAGCATAGATGGTTGTGGCTCCAAAATCAGAAAAAGAAAAAAAATGGGAGTGCTTGGGGCTGTCAGAGATATACAGGGGATAAAGGTCTTGCTTGCCAGTCAATCCCACATAATCTCCCAAGCACCAGCAGCTGTGACCTCTGAGTACTGCTGGCTGTGGCCTCTCACCAGGGAAAAATAGAAGAAAAAGAAGAATTTATTTTGTGTGGGGCCAGAGATATGATTCCATAGTAGAACAAATGCTTCTCTGTGTGAGGCCCTGAGTTTGATCCAAAGCACCTTCATAAAGAAAAAAGATTATTTTGGGACTGGAAAAACAGCACCAAGGGCTGGGCTGGTGCACGTGCTTTCACACGAGATGCCCAGGTTCAGTCCCCACCTCCATAATGTCCTCAAGTACAGCCAGTAGTGACCCTAAGCACCAGGCAGGAATTGCCCCTGAACACCACTAAGTGTGAGCACCCGGTGAAATTTTCCTCCAGCTCCTTTCAGCACCTAAACACTGACTCAGACACAAAAGAATTTCCCCTTGGAGAAGTGAGAGGTGAAGCCAAGAATATCATCACTGATTCCCAAAGGATGATATTGAAGTCATTTATACAGTGTCTCCGGGATGAAACCTAGGCCTCACCTTGAAGTATACATTCAGCCACTGAGCTATATGCCTGACTTCATTGTTTGCCACTTTAAAATGTTACAAATGTAAGTACAGGGCCTGAGAGAGTACAGCAGGTTGGGTACTTGTCTTGCACATGGCCAACTGAGTTTGTCCCCTAGCATCCCATGTGGTCTCCAAAGCACCACCAAAAGTAACCCCTCAGCATCTCCACGTGTGGCTCCAAAACAAACAAAAAAATGGAAGTATATAGGCATATAAATATACTATATGTAAACTTATATGTGTAAAATAAATGTAGCTTACAAATTTTTTTTTAATTTACCATGTCGGGGGTGGGAGGTGGAGGAGGGGGCGTGGACCAAAGAGGAAATACAGTGGGTAAAGTTCTTGTCTTGCACAAAGCTGACCAGGGTTCAATCCCACACATACCATATTGTACCTCAAGCACTGCCAGGAGTGAGCCCTGAGAACCACCAAAGGTAGCAAAAAAAAAAAATTATTTTGGGTGCCAGGGTGGAGCGATAGCACAGCGGGTAGGGCGTTCGCCTTACAAGCAGCCAACATGGCCGACCCGAGTTCGATTCCTCCACCCCTCTCGGAGAGCCCGGCAAGCTACCGAGAGTATTCGATATGCCAGACACAGTAACAACAAAGTCTCCAATGGAGACGTTACTGGGCCCGCTCGAGCAAATCGACGATCAACGGGAGGGCCTTTACCTTTACCTTTACCTATTTTGGGTGCCAGAGCAAAAGTAGAGCGGATAGGGCACTTGCCTTGCATACAACTGACCCAGGTTCACTAATGGTCTCCCAAATCCCACCAGGAGTGATTCCTGAGCCAAGAGTAAGTCCTGAGCAGTGACAGCTGGGACCAAGAGAGAAAAAAAAATTCATCTTGGAGGGCCTAAGCAATAACTTAAGGGGTGGTGGGTATCATTTTTGTGAGGGAGGCCCAAGTTTAAGCCCCTGTACCATCTCATCCTTTTGGTGATACTAAAGGTCTTCCCTGTGGCTTCCAGCACAATGCCTGAGCAGCACTGGTTTTGTTTTGTTTTGTTTTTTCTTTTTTGCTTTTTGGGTCACACCCAGAAATGCACAGGGGTTACTCCTGGCTCTTCACTGAGGAATTACTCCTGGCGGTGCTCGGGGAACCATATGGGATGCTGGGAATCGAACCCAGGTCGGCCGCGTGCAAGGCAAACGCCCTACCCGCTGTTCTATCACTCCAGCCCCTGTTTGTTTGTTTTAATGGAGGGGGAAACAGATTGAGTCATACCCAGCTCTGCTCAGAGTCTGTTCCAGGCTTAGTGCTCAAGAGTCAACTCCTGGCCTTTCTCAGGGGAGCACATGTATGACAAAGGGATTCAAACCAGGGTGGGCAGGATGCAAGCCCCTTAACTTGACCCACACAGCCAACCCAACAGAGAAAACTTAACAGTAGAAATATGGCTTAGTAGAATATTGTATCTGTGTAGCTTATTCAAAATTTTTATCATCTAAAATGGTGCCAAGAGTGATACCTATTTTGTGAAAGTGGTGAAAGAGAACCACACCTGGCTTAGTGCTTTGGGGTTGATCCAGATGATGGTCAGAGCACCTGGGGCCTTTATCTTGGTTTTGTTTTATGCTTTCTTTGGAATTTTAAATTCCAGTTTCATGTCATGTACACTGAAACGCAAAGGAAAGTTGTTTTGTCAGTGTCATGGGTTTCCCTTCACAGCTAGAGATTCCAAACTGATTTGGATATTTGAAGGTGGGGGGATGTGGGGTTTGAGCCATATTTAGCAGTCGTTCATGTCTCACTCCTAGAAGTGTTTGGGGGATTATGGTATCAGAGATTTGAACCAGGGTTCGCCACATGCAACCCTTTATAGTTAGTGGTATCTTAACTATAAAGTTAGTGAAAACTAAGCACTAGATTTTTCCAAGCAAATGTAAGTACTTTACATTGGATTATCTTATTTAATTCTTATGGGTGACAGAAACCTAAAAATAAATACTTGGGGCTGAAGCAGTAGTATAGCATTTGCCTTGCACACAGTCAATCCAGATTCAATCCCCAGCTTCTCATACGGTCCCCCAAGCACCACGAGGAGTAATTCCTGAGTGCAGAACCAGGACTAATCACTAAGCATCGATTGATGTAACCAAAAAAAGAAAACATTAAATACTAATACTAATACTTCGATGTCTTTACAGAAGAGGAAATTAAGATATCACTGTTTAAGCTGTTAAACTACAACAAACATAGAGTTACTCTAAGTTTTTGGTTGGGGGCTACACCCAACAGTGCTGAGGGCTTACTTCTGGCTCTGCACTCTGGGACCACACCTGACAGGCTCAGGGGACCATATGGAGTGCTAGTGATCAAACCCAGGTCAGACGCATGCAAGCCAATTGCCTTACCTACTGTACTATCTTTCAGACCCCAAGTTTTTCTTTTTTTCTCTTTCGCTTTTTATTTTCAGTTGCACTGGACAGGGCTCAGGGGCTACTGTCATTATTCCAGTGCTCAAGGATTGCCGATGGTGGTGCTTTGAATTAGAGACTCCATCATGCAAAGCATGTTCTCTAGTGTCTCTCTCTCTCTCTCTCTCTCTCTCTCTCTCTCTCTCTCTCTCTCTCTCTCTCTCTCTTTGGCTTTTTGGGTCGCACCTGGCAATGCACAGGTGTTACTCCTGGCTCTGCACTCAGGAATTACTCCTGGAGGTGCTAAGAGGACCATATGGGATGCTGGGAATTGAACCTGGGTCGGCCATGTGCAAGGAAAACACCCTACCCACTGTGCTATGACTCCAGCCCCTCTCTAGTCTTTTGAACTATCACCCAGCCCCCAGTAGTCCTTTCTTTTCTTTACTTTAGTATGTCTGCATATCTTTTTTATTTGGAGGGAGGATTTGAGTCCATATGTGGCAGTGCTTAGGGACTACTCCTGGCTGTGTTCTGAAGTCACTCACTCCTATTAGAACTGACCTCAAAGTCAACCTCATTCAAAGCTCCTTAATTCCTGTACAGTCTCTCCCTGCCCCCATACTATTTTTTTTCTTTTTGGGTCACACCCGGCAATGCACAGGTGATACTCCTGGCTCTGCACTCAGGAATTACTCCTGGTGGTGCTCAGGGAACCATATGGGATGCTGGGAATTGAACCCGGGTCGGCCGCGTGCAAGGCAAACGCCCTATCCGCTGTGCTATCTCTCCAGCCCCCCCATACTTTCTTTTAGTTGTGCCAGGGACCAAACCCATGCCTTTACACATGGAAAATTGTATTCTTCTTTTTTTTTGTTTGGGCCACACATAACTGTGCTCAGGCATCACTCCTGGTGGTGCTCAGGGGACCATATGTGGTGCCAAAAAACAAATCCAGTCAGCCACATGCAAAAGGCTTTACCCGCCGTACTGTCTCTCTCACCCCATATATTTATTGGATTACCTTCTTCATAAAATGAGTGTAAGTGGTTAAGATGTATATTGCAACAGTATTTAACATGTTTATGAAGGCCAGTTTTGGTTGCAGGTGCTGGGAAAGCATGCTCATCAAAGTTGATAAGGACACTAATTCCATTAGTACTATTAATTCTGCTATATACTCTTTGGATAAGGCTCTCTCAGCTGTAACTGAAAATGTACTTTGAAGACCTCTGAGCTAGAATAGTGTTGCACAAATTTTCCATATTGAAAGGTTCATCCAGGAATTTATTTATAATGCACATTACTGATCCCCACTTCAAACTTCAGGATGAGAATCTTCAAGGAAAGAATCTAGACATCTATTTATAACATCATGCCCTAAATGACTCATATGAATAGATAAATTTGGAAAACACTGGTCTCTAGAGGATGTGTGGACAACAGGGTAATATAGGGGAAGATTGGCAGGACTGTGAGGAATGACAGGATGTAAAAAAAGAGAGTGATAAATGACTATTTTAAGCATGCCATCGGGGCCTGGAGAGATGGCTTAACAGGCTGAGCATAAGCGTTGCATGTTGGGGGCCCAGGTTCTATCTCCTGCACCATCTGGTCTGAAAGTGGCCACCAAGCACTTCTGGGTGCAGCCCAAAAATCAAAGGGGGAAAAAAAACATCATAGAATAGTTGCAGATTTGCCAAACCTATAACTAACTTGTTTCTTCTTTTTTGGGTTTTGTGTGTGTGTGTGTGTGTGTGTGTGTGTGTGTGTTTGAGGATTTAGGCCCTACCTAAGCTGCTCAGAGGCTACTCCTGATTCTGTGTTCATGGATGATGCCTGGAGTTTACACACACACACACACACCATTTGTTTTTGGTTTTGTTTTGGGACTGCACTCAGCAGAGCTCAGGGCTTACTCCTGGCTCTCATGCTCAGGGGTAGGGTCACTCCTTCAGTGTCAGAGGATCACAAGGTGTTATCTCTCCTGCTCAACCTGTTTTGTTTGGGTGGAGCCACACCCAATGGTGCTCAGAGCTGACTCCTGTCTCTGTGCTCAGGGATCACTCCTGGTGAGGCTCTGGGGACCATATAGGGTGCCAGAGATCAAACCCAGGTCAACCATGTGCAAGGCAGTAGTCCTCTTTGTTTTACAAGCATATTTTTACCTTGGTGTCAATCCCGCATGTCCTTGTTCTCATCTGTCCCTTCAGAGTACTTGATCTCATTCCTCATGTGTAAACATACCTGCTTCTGTAAACAATTCAGCATGAGTTCTTTCTTCTTCAACCCTCTGCCTAGTCCATGTAAGCTGCTTTAAGTAAGCTCTTCCAGAATGTTTGCTGAATGACTAGTCATGTGAGCAAGTGTGATCTGTTTAGCAATTCCGATCCTAATCCTCTCCCGAGTGTGTGGCTTCCAGTGGTGTTTGGATTAGAACCAGTTGCTGATGACAGAACATTTTATAAAAGATCTACATTAACTGCCTAGTTCTCTTACCTCCTCATTTTGAAACCACTTCTTAGAAAAGCATTTTACAAACATCATTCAGTATCTCTGTGTTTTGGCATACACCTTAAATATTTGTATCTTACTCTCTTGAACAGTTTTACATCATTGTCTTACTGCCTCTGAATTTGACTGCTTTTAGATTGTCTGTCTCCTTCCCCTCCTTTGTCTGAAATATCAAAAACATGCCTGGCGTAGCTTTTGATCTTCTCATTTATAAAATGAGTTCAGGGACTGGTGTAACAGTACTGAAAGAAAGGACTCTTGCCTTGCACACAGCCAACCCAGTTTCAATTCCTGGGACCACATATGGTCCCCTAAATCCTGTCAGGTGTGATCCCTGATCACCACAGGGTATGGCCCCAAAAAACAAAATAGTTTTTTTCTGGGCGGGTTTTGGGCCACACCTGGGGATGCTCTGGGTTACTCTTGGCTTTGCACTCAAGAATCACTCCCCAGTTGGCCACATGCAAGGCAAAGGCCCTACCCACAGTACTACTGCTCTGGTCCTAATAGCACTGTAACACTGTCATCCTGTTGTTCATCGATTTGCTCAAGCAGGCACCAGTAACGTCTCCATTCGTCCCTGTTGCATGCTTGTGTAGCCCAGTGTCGTCTGCTCGCTCCAGGAACACGAAGTGAGACTTGTTGTTACTGTTTTGGGCATATCAAATATGCCACGGGGAGCTTGCCAGGCTCTGCTGTGTGGGTGGGATATTCTCGGTAGCTTGCCGGGCTCTCCGAAAGGGATGGAGGAATTGAACTCGGCTCCGCCACATGCAAGGCAAATGCCCTACCTGCTGTGCTATCGCTCCAGCCCCCACACATGTGGTAGCACTGGTAATTGAATGTCTTACTGTAGGCTTGCAAGGCACATTTTCTAAGGCACTGAGCTATTCCTAGTCACAATGTTACTGGACCCGCTCTAGCAAATCGATGAACAACGGGAGGACAGTGACAGTGACAGATATCTGGTTCCAGTGCTTTCATATTCAGTCACATATTTTAGTTGTGGCACTTGCACACATCTGGCTGTGCACTGGTAATCACATAGTGATAAAGCACTGGCAGTGCCAGTTAGCTGAGAAGATATGAAGGGTACTAGGGATCAAAAGCATAAACTGAGGTTTACAAGGCAGGCAGGCACCTGTTGAGTTTTCTTGTCTCAACACTCAACTCAACATCCGATGACACATAAAAAATGAGAAACAGTGGGCTGTGGCGAAGGCAGGCTGGGCGCAGGGAGGATGCGGAGGGGGCATTTGGAGGACCCGGAGCAGCCACCCGAGGCTCTTCCGGGATGCCGAGTGAAGGATGGGCGATGGACAGATGGACTCTCTGGCATCGTGGCATTGTCCGATCTCTCCTTTTATGGCAAAACCATAGTCATCATTACAGCCGTAGTCTCAGAGGTTATCAGAGTTCCATCATCCTAGTCTCCTCGAGGACTTCAAAGTCTCCAAAGTCTGGGCTGTGTGCCAGATCACACACTCTTTTGTTGCGAGTGGGGGTTCCAGGCAGGAGAGCCTCCAGGGACCTAGGTTCTGTATCTCTATGGTGGGATCAGGGATCAGACTCATGACCTCAGGCTTACAAGGCTGGCTTTTGGCCACTGAGCCATCCCCCTGAGGTCCCATTTCAGTTCTCTAAGAGGCTGTGCTTCTCTGTAAGATCTTTTATCAGTCAAATGAAGTGAGTCAGGACAATTAAACATTGTAAAAGATTCTGCTGTTGTGCTAGGACATCGCACCCCATTTTTAACAGTTCCCGAGATCATTTGATAAGTCATTTAAAGGAAAAGTCTTGAGTGTATCATTTTAATTAGCTTCTGATTTTATCTCCTTACCACTATTACTACTGGCTTCTCTGTATTTATGCTCTGATGAATGTGAAATTCTACCAGTTCCTGAGCTCCAGAGGTGTGATTCTGGGGAATGTCTGACAGAAAGGGCTCACACCCAGTTGCAACTGACCTCTGCATTAAAGGTTTGGGACCGTTTTTCTTTTTCTGTTTGTTTTGGGGTCACATTCCGTAGTGCTCAGAGCTTACTTCTGGCTCTGCTCAGGAATGTCTCCTGGCAGGGTCTGGGAACCATATGCCTTGCCAAGCGATTGAGCCTGGATCTGCTGCATGCAAGGCAAATGCCCTACCTGCTGTACTATTTCTCTGGCCCCCAGCTATTGCCTTAAAAAATTCATTGGCTGGGGCCTGGAGAGATAGCACAGCAGGTAGGGCATTTGCCTTGCACGCGGCCGACCCGGGTTCAATTCCCAGCATCCCATATGGTCCCCTGAGCACCGCCAGGAGTAACTCCTGAGTGCAGAGCCAGGAGTAACCCCTGTGCATTGCTGGGTGTGACCCAAAAGGCAAAAAAAAAAAATTCATTGGTGCTTGTCAAGTCTCAGTGTAGCTACCTCAAGTTTCCTTTTATTTATTTCTTTACCTTTTACCTTTTATTTCATTATTTTGGTTTGGGGGCCACACCCAGTTGGACTCAGGTGCTAATCTCAGCCCAGTGTTCCAGGATCTTTGCTGGTGGTACTGAGGGACTTTAAAGTGCCAAGCCCTGGGCGCCTGCCTGCAGAGCACACTACGTTCCAGTCTGTCACCCGCTGTCCCTGGTCAGGATCTTCCTTTCCATTGTGTCCCACCTGTGCTTTTTTCTGATGTCTTTGAACCTTTCCTCAGGTGACAGCGCCTTCTTTCTCCGCACCTGGCTCCTGACTCCGCTCCACATTCCCGAGACTCCTGCTGAGTATCGCTACAATATGGCCCACTCAGCAACGCACAGTGTGGTGGAGAAGACGATCCGGACCCTCTGCTCCCGCTTCCGCTGCCTTGACGGATCCAAGGGGGCCCTGCAGTATTCCCCAGAGAAGTCCAGCCACATCATCTTGGCTTGTTGTGTCCTCCACAACATCTCCCTGGAGCATGGGATGGATGTGTGGTCCTCACCAATGACAGCACCCATGGAACAGCCCCCTGAGGAAGAGTATGAGCGCATGGAGTCCCTGGATCTCGAGGCCGACCGGCTTCGCCAGGAGCTGGTGCTCACTCACTTCAGCTAATGTGGAAGGTGGGAGGAGGGAGACCTTCCAGAACATGTCATGGACCTGTTTTCCCTATCACCCTGCCCTTCCTACATGGCTTGTCAGCCACTGTGATTGAGGTTATGGATCCTGGGCATAAATGAACTTTTTACCTGCATTTTTAATGGATGAGGGCTCAGCATAATATCTTGATTCATTTGCAAATGAATGAACTACACCAAAATCAAGACAATGGTTCCCCAGTATCCATTGAACTTTCAAGTTGAAACCACTCATTTGGCTTTTTGATATGGGGGGAAAGGGGGAGGCTGGGTTTTGGGCTTGTTGTGCAAGCCCCCAGCATTGCGCAGGGCTTACTCCTGGCCTGTTCAGCATTTCAGAGACCCGATGTGGTGTCAGGTATAGAAGCCTAGTCAGCTGTATGCAAAGCAAGTGCCTTCCCCTTTGTACTATGGCTCCTGCCTGAGGCCACTCCCCTGGAAAGGTCACTTGTGTTGTAAACACAAAAGGTTGTAGGCCTTTATGATTGTGCCTCCAAAGTCAAAGCAAAGGAGAAGATGGTATCCAGTCAGAGCACACTTCTTTGTTTGAATTATCTGAAGAGTTCAGGTGAAAATAATATTCATCTGAGATGAACTTAGATGGTATTTTATTTTTATTGTTGTTATATTGTTTTGGGGCCTCACCCAGCGATACTCAGGGGTTATTCCTGGCTCTGCTTTCGAAATTACTCCTGGCAGTGCTCAGGGGACCATATGCAGTGCTGGGGATTGAACCCCTGTCTGTTGTGCAAGGCAAGCACCCTACCCATCGTACTATCCCTCTTAGTTCTTAGATCGTGTTTTAGTTTTTCTACTTTTCCACTCGGTATAATCCGAGGCATGTGTGAAAAACAAGCTTAAACTGAGAAATGGCCTTCAGACCTAAGAAAATGGTGATTGGGCTAGAGAGATATCTCAAAGCACTGAGTGTATGCTTTGCATGCAGGAGGCCTGGGTGTAGCCCCTGAGTGCCATCATGTATAGTCACATGCCCCCATCCCCCCAAAAAAAAGTTACTTAAGTTTTCAGCTTTATTTTTTTGTTTTCAAATTTATTTTATTATAGTTTGGTTATGCCTAGAATTGCACCTAGGCCCTCACACATGCAAAGCAAGTGCCCTACCCCAGTCTTACATCGCCAGCTTTGCAACTTTGTTTTTTAAGAGGCTATTAGAAACAGTGGGGGGGGGGGGGGGAGAAAGAAAGAAACAGCCTGGAACCTTCATCCTTAGTCTGCAATGCCTAGACTCTGATTTGGATTTAGCTCTTAGGGAGAGCATCTGGATTCTAATCTCAAGTCTGGATATGAGTTGGGGGCTGAGTGGATTTAAGAACACAATCTGGTACCCAGAAAGTAGTACAGAGTGTAAGGCCTCGAACACAGTTTTTCCTGTTTTGATTCCTAGCACTTCCATAATTCCTTGTGAGCACTGCTGGTTTGATTCCTGAGCTCAGAGCCAGGAATAAGCCTCGAGCACTGAGGGTTTGGCACAAAAACAAACAAAGCAATCTGGGATGGAGATGTGGCTCAGTGGAAGAGCACTTGCCTTGCATGTGTGAGACACTAGATTTGACCTTCAGAAACACAAGAACTAACAAAAATAAATGAAAAAAAAAGGAAAAATATTTTAACTTTTTATTATAGGAATCAGAGCGATACTATAGTGGGTGGGGTGCTTTCTTGCACGCAGCCTACCCTGGTTCTATCCCTGGCACCCTATATAGTCCCCTGAGCCCACTAGGAGTGAGCTTAGAACCAGAAATAAGCTCAGAGCGCCACCAGGTATGACCCTCCCAAACAAAAAAAAATGTATTATAAATAAGAGAATCCAAAGTAAAGAAGACAAATTCATGCTAGGGAAGGTAGCTCAAAGGGCTGGAGCACATCATTCTTTGCATGTGGGAGCACTGTGCCAGTAGTAGCAACCAGGCACTACCGGGTATAGTCCCAAACTAGACAAGTCAAAGATAAATTAAGAGGCCAGAGAGATAGTATAGTGGTTAAAGTGATTGCTTTACCATGTGGCCGACCCTGGTTTCATTCCTCATGCCATGTATAACCCCTGAGCAAGACCAGGAGTGACCTCGGGAACAGGGCAAGGAGTAGCTGCTCCTGAACATCCCTATGACCCAGTGAACAAAAATAGAGCTGTAGGGATAGTACAGGAGATAATGTGGTTGCCTAACATGTGGCAAACCTTAGTTCAATTCCCAGCATCACATACAGTTCCTGAGCACCCCAGGAGTGATGCCTGAGCACCACTGGTGTGGCCCAAAGCCACTCAAAAAATATAGATAAATGTTAAATAGCAAGTTTAGGGGTCTGGAGATATCGTACAGTGGATAGGATGCTAGCCCTTCACATGACATCTCCAGCATCCCATAAGGTCCCCCAAGCACCACCAGGAGTAATTTCTGAGTATAGAGCCAGGAGTAATCCCTGAGCACCACTAAGTATGGCCCCCAATATTGAACCTGTGTTGACTGCACGCACAGCAAGCACCTTACCCCCCCAATACTATCTCTCCAACCCTGCAAGTTTACACTTTAAAAGGGATCCAAGGTCGGGGATGTGGCTCAGCGGTAGAGCATTTTCCTTCTTTGTGTTAGACCCCGAGTTCAATTCCTTGCACCATAATAAATGAACTAACAGAATCTGAAGATCCTGACAGTTTGAAATGCAAAGATATTTCACCCATTTTAGGGACAACACATCTAAGTAGAGCACATTGGACTACAGAAGTAACACAGTAGCCAACCCTGGTTTGAATCCCTCCACCACATACACCATCTCTGAGCATTGCCAATGGTCATTTCTGAGCGTAGAGTCAGGAATAGCGCCTGAGCACCACCAGTGTGGCAAAAAAAAAAAAAAATGAATAAATCACATTTCTTATAATCCCAATATTAGAATGTCTAAACATTCTATTTTGAAACTCCTTGTATAGAAGTATTTTGGAACTAAAGATGGTACATGTGAAAGTGTTCAAAGAGAAATAAAAGAAATATAGTTTCTTCATTTGAAATTAACTTTGGAGTTAGACCTACTTGACTATCTTGGGTGCAAAGTGATGGACAGAATTTCTTAGGAAATACATAATCCCCCACCAAGTCTTGTTCTAAAATTATACTGATATAAAAATAACCTGATTAGAATAATGAAAGTGTGAATTAGGTTCACACATTGGTGCCTTTCACTGGGACAAAAAAGAGACTTTCCTGAGGATTGTCTTGTTCCCAGTTTCTCAGCCAGTCACATGTGACACCTCCAAATTGTCCTCTTGGATCATTTCCTACCTGCCTTTGGCAGTGTTAATCTGGTGATTTTCAAAGTAAAGAAATGAGCAGCTGATGACAGAAGAAATTTGGAAATAAACTAAGAGTGACTCATCCTCAAGATTAAAAACAATTATGAATTATTATCTGCTGTTTCTTTCTATTCCAAATGCCATTTCCCGTCGTCATCCTACTCTTGAGATTGGAACCATTTTGCAGAAGCTTGAGCGTCATTTGTCCAGTGATGTAATGATGATGGGAGGAGTAGATGACCAAGAGCTTTAGCTCTGGTCATTGTGCAATCAAGGTGTCCTGTGACATGTTTTTCTCTGTAAAGGTTACCTTGAGGCTCAAGTTCACTTGTCTCCTTGATATTTTTAATTCTCACGTTTTTTTCCATGTTTCCAGAGACAGGCATTTTTCCGCATGAAGTTTTCGTTCTATTATGAATATTGGATATATGTCATAAATTCAAGTAGAGTGTGGTCCTGGTTAATGCCCAGCATTTTTGCCTTCAAAAAATAGGGGCCAGGGTTGGAGATAGTTCAAAATGGTTTGTATGCCCCAGCACTTATATAATCCCTGAGCACCAAAATAATAGCCCCCAATCACCAAACCAGGAATAGCCCTTGAAAACTGCTATGTGTGCCATCCCCTAACCCCAAAACAAAACAAAACAAAACGAAACAAACAAAAAACAGGAAACAGTGCTAAGGAGATAGTACAGGAGTTAAGACACCAGTTCAATCCTTAGCACCACATTCCACCAAAGGACCAGCAGATGTGACCCCTCTGAGCATTGCTGGGTTGGCTCTGGTGGTCTCTAACATCACAGGGCGCAAGACCACTGCATCATAGGGCTATTGTATCGAGCCATCTGATCTGGTTGGCTGAGAGACTTGCTAGGAGTTGCCCCAGTTACCTAAGGACCACTTGGGAGTCCCCCATTCAAGGAAAAAAAATGCATTAAAGCAAAATTGTGGTGGAGGTGGGGGTGAGGGTAGAACAATGGTACAGTAGATAGGGCACTTGCCTTGAATGTGGCTGGCCCAGGATTTCATCTCTGGCACCACATATGATTCCCCAAGCTCAAAGCCAGGAATAAGCTCTGAGCAACACCAGTGTGGCCCAAATGCCCAACCCAGGAAAAAAAAAAAAAAAGGAAAATTGGGATTTTCCACAACTTTACTCACTAGCGGGTGACATGAAGCCTGAGTGGGAGGAAGAGTCTTGGAGAGATTTCAAAAGCAATTTCAAGCACATTACTTGCAAACCAAAGATAATTTCTAGGTGCTGAGCTGACAACATTGGTTGCAGTGTTTTTTTCCTGGGAGTACTTTATTTCCTAATGATTCTACAGATTGACTGTTCAGATCTACTCCTTTAACTTCCCTTCCACCTGGAGTTTTACTGGTCAGGATTTTTTCAGTTTATAGTCATACTTTCCCCCTAAATAATCTAAGAGAGTGGTCAGAATCTGTACTTCCAAATTGTTCCAGGGCTAAAGAGATGGTACAGCAGTTAAGGAACTGGCCTTGCATGTTCCTGACCTTTTTCAATCCCTGGCATCTCATGTGATCCCCTGAGTACCACCACCTGGAGTAAATCCTGAGCACAGATGCAGGAATACCTGCTGAACATCGCGGATGTGACCCAAACACCAAAAAAATTAAAAAAAAAAACAGCAAATTTTCAAGTATTCACTTATAGGCACTTTCTGAGTGCCTGAAAAATAATGAAGTTCATGTTGTGGATTTAGGTGTCATTGTGGTAGTTTTAGAAGAATGTGAAGGATGATGCCTGTCTTACACTAGAAATTTCCAAGAACTGGGGCTGGAGCAATAGTACAGTGGTTAGGGCATTGGTCTTGTACATGGTAGAACCTGGGTTTGATCCCCGGCATCCAATATGGTTCCCCAAGCACTGCCAGCAGTAATTCCTGAGTGCAGAGCCTGAGCATTGGTGGGTGTGACCCAAAAAGAATAAAAGAAAGAAAA